TGATTAGTGATATTCGTGATTAGTGATATTCGTGATTAGTGAAATTCGTGATTTTGTGTATAGCGATTCGGTGAATTATTTAAAGCGATATTTGAATTGTTTGTTGACGTTGTCATAGCGATAGATTTTGAAAGATTTAAAAGTTAATTGTTGCGTTAGTGCGAATTTACTGGAAATAAACGATTAGTTGATTTCTTCTGTAAATAAAGTTTAATAACTAATAATAGTTGATTTCTTCTGTAAATAAAGTTTAATAACTAATAATAGTTGATTTCTTCTGTAAATAAAGTTTAATAACTGTTTGGAGTATTTTATTCAATCGAAGATTTGAACCCGTCGCATCGTAAACCGGTTACGACAGCGAGTATTATAACAATATTAACGCCAAACATTCATATTTATAATGATGAATAATATTCATATATAAAAGGGAATAAAATAATATGGTATGATAACTAATCTAAACCCATAGGCACATTAAATGGGATTGCATATCAACAAAAACATAAAAGTATGATGGAAACATGGCAGAAAAGACTGGATTGAGGATATAGAATTTAAAAAAATGGCCAAAGATTGAAAAGAATTTTTGAAATCTAAATCTAAGAAAAAAGATGAGAGAAACAAAATGGGTGAGAAAAGTTGGAAGATCTTATCACAATAAAAATGAAGTTTTGAAAAAGTCTTCTTTGATTATTAAGAAGAATTAAAATAAAAATAAAAAACAAGCAGATTGCTTTGAGTAGGTACCTAGCGTTTGTTCCGTCCTTCTAATAATTACAATTTTTGTCCATGATAAATGAAATACTGTTTGGATTTGAGAACTCAATTTTATACTTGAAAAATTCATTTATAAATTAAATTTTAAAGTTATTTAAATATGTAATTTTTTGACCTTCTGATAAAACTTTCTATAATAATTAAAATGAAAATGTTTTCCTTACAATGACTCTCATTTAAAAGGTCAATGTGAGGTCAGCCCTAGGTCCTTTGATAACATTGTTCGGACATGTGCGTCTTTATATCACTACTAACGAATGTCTGGAATATTCAAGAATGAACACGCACGTGTGCTTCTAAATGTCACTGTCCATATACATAAATTATCAATCATGTGTTTCGACTTGGGGCGTGGCATGCTGTTGATGCACTCAAGTGTGTGTGTGTTTAAATGAACGCTCATATCACAAACCTATTATTATAATGCAGTTGATAAATGATAATATCATTTGTGTATGTGTTTATTTTGCTTTTATATCTATTCTGGAATATATTGTTCTTAACATAAAACGTTCATATTTCTCGTCGATATATTAGCCACGTTCACATAGCTACGATTATTTAAAAACTTGATTTTATACGTTGCAATTGAAAATTAGAATTATTTTAGTATGTTGCGATTGCGTGGCAGCGAACAGTGCATTTGAAATGAACAAAATAATGAATGAGCCTTTCAATAAAATATGTGTTCACCGGGCAGTGTTTTTTTTATTCCGCACTACTAGTCCTAGTAGTTGTTACCTGACATTCGACGACCACCATGCGACACGTCCCTTTGTTCCATGTTTGTCCATAATATATTCACTCACGTGTCGTGTGCACTCGACGGACGCAAGCGTTTTTGTCCACCTACATGCAAGTCTTTCATATGAGGCAACTGCATATTATATATGTACGTGTATGTGTGCGTGCGTACAGTGCATGTGCGTGTGTACGTGTTTTCTGAATTCATTTGTTCAATGTGGACCGAATAACAGATTGCAAATTGTTCATTCTCTTGTGTCTTCTATGGTGACGAACAGAGAAGAGTATATGTGCCATAAATCTACAATTAAATTGGTATTACAGTATGCAGACAGTTATTGTTGTAATAAAACGTTACGAACAAATTAAACATCTTTTCCAAGCTGTTCGTTGAGTATAATAATTCAAAGTTTTTTATTGTTACATTTTATATAACAATCAATCTTCGTTTAGCGTCCAGAGACCCAGTTTCCCGAGGTAAGACGTTGCTTTCTTTGCCATCAATTTTTGCGCCAAATTAGACATTTTAAATAACAATTTTAGTTTATTATTTGATGTGTTTTGCTATTTATCAGCTGTAAAACATCTCTATCTGTTCTTTTGCCAGGTCAGTTGTGTCAGCATATGACATAAAACAAAGTTCTTTATACAATTCGATCAAACAAATTAATGTGACATTCAATTAAAGGTGTCAATTAAAAGATGAACACGTCAGACGAATGTTCGGATGTGTAGATAATTGAATTCAGTTGGTGACATGCAATTAATGCGGGTCACGTTGAAATTACTCTTGCGTAAGCAATCATCGGCAAGTCTGTTCTTTCGTTGGTCCTTGTTTGTGACGTGTTTTTTTTCCATTTTTACTTTATAATAAATAAAATAGATAAAATGTTTAATTATAAAATATATTAAATAACACTGATTTAAAAATTACAAGTCGCATCTTTACTAGTAAGAAAATTTTTAAATATAATAATTTCATCCAGTTTACAATGAAATTTATTGTAAAAATATTTGCTGGCAGAATAAGGACGGGTGGTGAATTGACTGCCACTATATATTCAAATTCTTCATAACTAACAATCAAATTAACAAGAATTTTGCATTTAAAACATTTTTAAAATGCATCTCGCAATCAATTTTTTCATAAAAATTGTTTTCTGTTGATAATTTTTATGATCATTTTATAGAAACGATAGCTGACCAACTAAATTGTATGACAAACAGTTTTTACAGTTTGCTTGTCAAAAAATAAAACATGCAACACAAAAAATCGTAGATTTAGAATGAATCCAAACTGTAGGACCACCATTTCAAACTGTGCTATTTAGTTATGTTATATCTGCAATAAAAGCTACGAACCTACTAAAAATTATGGGGAATAAAAATTTTAATTTAAAATAATATGACGTAAGACTGAAAAATGTCTTACGCACGTTAAACACAACCTCACATATTTGTCAACATTGAGCACTGAAGTCAAATTTTGAAATTTGATTGCTAAATATATGATGTGGTACCTGAGTTTGCGCCCGACAACACGAACCTAGAAATGCAATTCTTATTTTTTGCCTATCTCCCATTATATTATTTTATTGCATTGGCTGTTTTGAAAATATCCAATAATATTTAATTAAAATATAATCAACTCCGAAATTATATCGGATTGCAGACGCAAACGAATTGGATGGGAGTTTCAATATGATGCGGTTATTACGAAGACGATTCGAAATGAAAAATAAGGAAATAGAGGTTCGAAAATGTTGGTGATAGGTAGTGGTTTGTTATCCGGTCAAAGTTAAGTTCAACTCTTACAGTTCGATTCATTAACAGTACCAATAAAACCTCTAAATAAACTTTTGTGTCATTGTATAATCACCTGCAGGTGATGTTTATTCACTACTTAACGATATTCTCTATTTTACGAAATATAATAAATATTTTAATATTTTAAATATAATAAATACTTTAGCAGAAGCATAAAGTGCATCATGAAGCTAAATAACTTGTAAAATATTTGCAGGCTAAGAACGAAAATGGACAAAAAGGAGGAAGTTGTGCAAGAAAAAAAACTGTCACCCTAAAGAAAAACGTATGGAAGCCCACTATTACAACTGGGCGTAACGCGTAACTTCAGTTCTCGAATCTACTTTCAATTTGCTGGACGGAATTAAACAAAATTGTTTGACGTGGTCTAACAAAATTTTCCTTCTAAAAAAAAATGCATCATTGTCAATTTTAACATGATATCTCAGAACAGGTAAACACGTATTTATTTAGAAACGTATTTATTTTGAAAGCACAAAAATGTTAAATGTAGCTAGAGTCCATTGAGAAAAACTTCAACATCTAAATACGTCTCTTCTGGGTACTGATATAAAGGACTGCAAAAAATTTACATATTATTCAGAAAATAAATTTTATTATAAATTATTTCATTATCAACTATTCAGTTATTCATTTTGAAATTCATTCAGAGAATAAATTATAGCTATATAAACTATATAAACAATGTGAGCATGACAGAAAAAAGCAATGACTAAAAAGAAAAATTAATAAACTTTACCGTTATTTCCTCTAATGAAAGCGTCGCCATATTTATTCTTCAATTGTCCACTGACATACTCTTCTGTTTGTTCAAGAGCAATGTTCATGTAACCATCGAGACAAGCAAGCACACCTACAACAAAAAATTCAAATTCGATTTTATTTATTCAAGTGGAACACAAAAACAGAAAAACTAGTCCAAATGTGGTTACCAGTACTTTTACTTACTATGTCAAGTGCAGAATTTTTATAAAAAAAGCACAGAGCACTTCTCTAATTTAACATCAGAACAACTTACATAGATCCATCTTTTATAATAGGAGAACATGCATTAGATATATTTATAAAGGTCAATGAAAAGTCAAATAAATGCCTACTTCCATATAAAAAATTAAAGCAACATCTTTACTGTTTTCTTGTACCATTCTAATGCTGTTCAACACATTCCAGCTTAGTTTCATTATTTTTATTGAGCAAATCACAAAACATCAAAACAATGCTATTTAAATTATATTAAGCTAAAACTTCAAAATGTTCAAAAATCCTTTTCTAGTTCATGAGTTCTTTAAACAAAAACATTCCTTTACCCTGCATAACCAAACTTAACTGAAACTAAAATTTCCATACATTTTTTTAATATTTATGAAATTTTGAAGAAGTACTTATGAAGTTTTCACACAAAGTGGTGCCTAAATATTAAACGTTTGGCAATAACTAATTTACAAATTACATCTACAGTCTTTCAAGCTAGTAAAACAGTTTAGAAATTTTCTGTAGACATATTGATTCAACATATAATAATGATCATTAATCCATCCTCCGATAAATATTGGAAATTAATAATAATAATAATAAATATATAATATAAGCCAATTTGAATTTAACCTCTGTAATCCACCCCAGAATTCAACTTGACCACAACTGGTCTGCCAATAATTTGCTTGAGAAATTCACTTGGCGTTTGTTTCTTGCTCATTGTTAAAACAGATTTTAATACCTTATTTAAAAAATGATAATAAAATAAAATTCAAAATTTGTGTGAATAGAAATATATTTGTTGAAAATTATTAACTAAGTTGACACATGACTGTATGTATGATATAGAAATGTTAAAAAATTAATTCATATGAAATAAAATAATAAACAAGCAATATTTATTTATTTTATATAAATAAGTAATATATAATAAATGATTTTGTTGATATTATATGCCTATCCTAGCTCTTACTTTTTCTTCGGCTTGTTTTATATAAAAATATTATAATTATATTATATTATTTTATACAAATTGTTTAATTATTTTAAATATTAAAAAAAATAAATACGAAATGAAATAAAATAAAGGAAATAATTTAATATTTATTTATACTTATTTTTAATATTTAAAAAACAACTATTTAAAATTTTAAATTCAAAATTAAATTTAAGAAAAAAAAACATATAAGATAGTTGTTACCAACCTTCAATATTATAACCAAAAATTTTTGCGCGTTATTCAGTAACAAAATTAGAAAGAATTTGAAACGTTTTTAATAATTCTGCGTTCGTTCAACATCAACCAGGTCAAGTGCGGCCGTATCACCAATCTCTCGCTTTTCAAAAACGAACAATATATTCGTCGTTTACTTTCAACAGTCCAATTTACGCCCAAGAACTGTTAATTTAATTGAATCAACCAATCAACCATAGAATCAACCTATGATTCATTTTATCCCTTGAGCATTTGAGTATAAACAGAAAATATCATTAAGAAATCGTTCAATCAATCAAGCGATCAATTAATTTTTTCAGCTCTATTTCTGTGACGTTCAACAGTGCTCCCCAATAAATTTTACAAAAAGAAGGGTCTTGAGATCAGTTCTGAACTTTGTAAGTGATGGAGAGGTAGTTAGTTAAAGAAGGAGGTAGAGATTTCCAACAAAATTTGGCCAGAAAAAGCAGACGCAGATATAACATAAAAGTGTTTAAGAAAAATTAAGATGATGTAAGAACGAGAATACAATCGTTTAGGTTCAAATAATATATACTTGAGAAATAATTTAGTTTGAGACTTGTACATTAACTTTCAAGTTTTTATCGGTAGCCAGTACACGAGAACAAGATATGGAGATATATGAGAAAACATAGGAGCACAAGCAACTAGACAAGCAGCAAAGTTAAAAGCTTTAGGTAGAATGTAGAATCAGAAAGACAATAGTAGAGTGAGTTACAATAAATGTTAGACGGTGGCGAATCAAGGGAGGCCTCCTCGTTGTGAGTAGTATTGTTAGTATTGTTAACAAAAGTAAATAAAATTCAGTTTTTACACAGAAAAGGCACTGTTAAATGTAAAAAATTGACTAAAAATTGATAAGCAACCAAAAAAGGTTCCCAGCCTAATTTTGGCCACACTAAACATTCAAACGTAGTTTCAATATTTTTGCCCTTCTTGTTTAAGTTGTCTAGATCCGCCACTTATCTTAGATAAAATTAATTCAAGTATAAAAGGTTCCCAGCCTAATTTTGGCCACACTAAACATTCAAACCTTGGACATCAGAAAACTTAGATAACCTAATTATAGAGGCAGGATATCTTTGCGTCAATAATAACAGATGTGATATCATTGCTGTTCTATGGTTTCCAGTAAAGTTTATAACTTAAGGAATGTAAAACGCCACCGACAGGATAATACACCATAAATTGTTCAATTGTATTTTTTCATTATAAGCTTCAGTAAAACATTAGGAAAACAGAAGATAACAAGATAACATGATATAACAAAATATGAGTGCATAGTTTAATTTAATGTAACATGACACGACATAACATAAAATAACAAAATAACATGATATAACAAAATATGGTGCAGGTTTAAATCCAAATAAAAATTGTCCTTAAATTTAAAAATATGAAACAATTGGAGTGCCTGATTTTGGACGCTGAAGAACATCGTAAAGAATAATTTTGTTCCAAAAACATTGTCACATAGAAGTGAAAAAAGCAGATAATGTCTAAATTTCGACCATCTTGTTTGTTGAACAGTTACACTAAAACTCCAATCTTCAGTTTACAAAATAAAAGAGTGAGAAAGTGCTTTGTAGCGTTGTGTACAATCTGAGCATTTGAATGCCATTGTACAGGTGACAGGGTGACATGGAATATAACAATAAAAATCCTATGCATAATGACGTTGTTAGTAGTATGCACGTCATACATGCTTGCTGAAGTAGCATTAACATGTTTGTCTTTGTAACTAATTTTATTTTACTATTATAATTAATAAAAAATTGTTCATTTTTTATATCGTTTGTGAATTCAACTTTCTAACTAATATTATTTTAATATTGTAATTAATAACAATTGGTTCATTTATATTGTTTGTAATTTCAATGTTATTGACAGATTTGGTTTTATAAATAGTTTGCGACTCAAATCGCTGGCCGCATAAATTTAAGGAAAACATGGCAACTTCCAATGATGAGACCTACAAAATTGGATACGATGAGCCATATAAAAACATAAATGAAGGGAACAAAATAGAATTAGGTGATCAACTAAATGAAGACATTGATTATCGTCAAATAAGCTCCCATTTGGGAATGGATGAAGAAATGAAACGATTGATAAATAAACCAAATCGAGGGTATGAAATCCTGTCAGCATGGTCTAAAAAAAATTCCGCTGGTACTGTAAGAGTTTTGATTGAGACGTTAAAACAAATGAAACGCAAAGACCTGGTAGATAAGGTTGAAGACTTTAGAAATGGTATAATTATTTGTTCGTGTGATGTTTTAATTTGATTCGGAATATTTTAACATTTCAAAATTTTCCAACATTATTATTCATATGGAATTAAATTTAAATGAGGTTCTTTAAAACTTTTAAACAATGTTAGCCTATCATCAAATTATTATTTCAGATTATATGGTTTTAACTCTGGTAATGTATGGCGAAGACACCGAACCCATAAATGGTAACTCTTTTATTAGTTATTCATAAAAAGCAAAAATGTGTTATAACAAGTTATCCTAAAAACATTTACTGTAAAAAATACTTAAATCTTAACATTTATTAGCTGCCGTTATCATGACTGAGTTTTTATTGTAATAGAATCATTTAATTAATTTTCTGATGTAAAATAATTTGCAAATTTTTTTATATTTACTCTTTAAATTAAATTTTTTTTCGTTTTTCATACTCAACAACAAAAGGCTTTCCAAAGATTAATTTTTGTTTCATTCCATTATCAGCTTATACTTGCCAACAATTGAAAATCAAGAAGTAATTTACAATTGCCTAAAGTTAAAAATAATTTTTTAAAATTTATAATAATAGTGTATAATAGTGTTGTGTTGTTTCACCTAATGGAACAACACAACACTATTATACCAAGAGAAATTTTAGACAATGACGTCAAAGAAATTTATTACAACAGAAAATATTCATCTTCAACTTCGTTAAATATAACACTTTTACGTGTTTGTGTTTTCATTATCAATGATTCCTCTGTTTCTAAACTTATTGGTGGGAAGAATTCCAATTACCCGTTGTTGAATATTTATTATCGGATGTCTTTGTTCTATGAGTATTGATTCGGCAAATCGTAATTTATAGTGGTTGTTATTGTAATGTAAGATTTCAACATTGTGGCCCAAGATTTGTTTAGTAATTTTAGTTTTGTGTTTTTCTTTTATGTGATTCTTTATAGCGCTAGCTTGTACGGGCATCGTGAGTCTTCTCGATAACTTGGTCGTCGTCATATCAATATATAATTCTGAATAATTTGGTACGACGACGACCAAGTTATCGAGAAGACTAACTCGCCGACCTGTGTAGATAATTGCATTGTATTGTAAATATTTAAATTTTTAAAATGTGTAATACGTTTGATTTAATTTACAAATTAAACATTGATTCTTAAATAAATGTTGTTTATTCACAGCGGCCATTACAACTCCATCAAGAAAATTGTTGATTGATGTCGTCAAACCGGAAGTAGTAAAACATTTTCAAACCTATTTAACGGGTAAAAATCAAATTGTTATGACCATAGATGGTCATGAAGCATCATGGACCGAACCTTGCAGTAACTTCAAAGTAATTTTTGTTAGCTTCCCCGTGTAGATACAAATATGTTTTTGTAACCGTATTTCATTGTACAAGTCTCTATTCTTTTCTCTCTATTTCTCTCTCTCTCTCTCTTTCTCAATCTCTCTCTCTTTCTCTCTCTCTCTCTTTATATATATATATTTGTGTTTATTTATATTTGTACATTTGAAATACAGCATTTTTTGATAAAGGTTTTTAATTTTTTTGTTTTTCTTTTTTTTAAATAAAAGTAAAAATAAATATAATTAAGGGGCGCCAAGTTAATGTCAGAATTAAGAAACCATGCCAGGTTTGAAATTTGAAAGATTTTGTCGCATCATACACATACCTAATTCTAACAAGTTTTTAATATCTTGCAACCTATTTGTAGGCTTCCTATCAGTCTGTATATCAAAACCAAAACAGTAGACAGGATTTGGCCTCAAAAAATGTCATCACATCTCCTGAGAATAATTTAACAATCTCTGATCCAACTATCAATAATTCCGCTTGTACTTATAACAACGCAAACCCTGATAAGCATTATATCAGTCACCTGCCAGGATTTTTTGATCACGACAGAAGACAAGTATGTTAATTTGTTAATAACATTGAAATGATATGCACGTGCTAAGATCTTTTTCAATTAATCATATTTTTTAAATTTTCAAGACCGAGGCAAAATTACGAGAAGCGCCAGAGCGTAAGTATATACTTCGATACAGACGTAATTTAACATCTGAACACGATAGCCACATGGTTCTGTCATTCTGGTAAACTTATTTTAACAATTATTAACTTGAAAATTATTATTGATAATATCGGCAAAAATTAATTAAGACGAAGAGTTTAATAAGGTATATACAGGCTAATACGCCACAAATATGATGGTAGATGATGTTGCCTTTATTTATTACCATAAACACTAAAAATATTAAAACTGGCGTAATGTGTTCTTGCTTAAATTTTTAATGATAAAGATGTTTGACTGTTTAGTGTCATTCATCACGTTTTGGTTTTAACACACACACACACATTTGTTCATTCAAAATTGGTTTACTGCAACGGTATTTTTTATGGGGCGTTTAATAAACTAACTGACAATTTGAAGTCTATTCTGAATCGAGCGGCAAAAATCATTTCTGGAGGAATAAAGTCTGACCATGTAAGCCATACCCTGTTTGACCATCATTGGCTAACAAATCAAAGAAAGAATTGCCATTCTGGTTTTTTAATGCCTGGGTCCACACTATCTGTCTACAAATTTTTAATATAAAACAACAATAACTCATCGTAGTTCAGACGTCAAATTTTTCCCGTCGTTGCCGTAGACAAGGTTGGTGGTGACCATTCGTGGTTATGCAGTCGCAGGTGCAACGGTTTGGAACAGTTTGTCTGACAGTCAGCTTCAACCAGTAATGACTGTTCAACAATTCCGCAAGGAACTGAAAACGTTTCTTTTCGTGTGCATCAATTTGACTATGCTCAAGAAGCGTAGTCAAGAATTATTATTATTATTAGGTAGATTTATATAGCGCCCTTTCATCAAATCTCAAAGGCGCTGAAACAGATCACAAGGAAACAACAACAGAAACGTTTTTAATCACCTCCTGAAGGATAAAATTGAATGCCCCGAAGCACGTAGTTCTAAAAGCAGGCTATTCCATACAGATGGCCCAACAACTGAAAAATTTCTTGAACCTGTAACAAGTTTTGTTAGGGCTACAAAAAGTAAGCCACGATCATTAGAACGTAATTTGTAGGAATGCCTTGGAACAAGACGTGCAGTGCACCTATCAATTAGATAGCCAGGTGCAATACCATTCAAGCATTTGAACATAAGCATTTCAATTTTAAAAGTAATACGTTTTCTAACAGGCATCCAGTGTAAGTCTCTCAAAATGGGGCTGACACGATCAGACCTATAACGTCCAGTAACAAGTTTAGCACCTCTATTCTGAATGGACTGCAACATCTGAATAACTCTTTGTGACAGTCCATAGAATAGGCCATTGCAATAATCCACTTTAGAATGTATAAAAGCATGGACCAGACAACTTAGTGTCTGAATATCAAGTGAATGTTTTACTGATTTCAACAACCTTAGTTGATTTAAACAGTCTCTAGCAAGACGCTTAATATGTGGGTCCATAAACATATTTGTGTCAAATATCATACCCAGATTACTAGCACTCGTACTAAAATCAAAACATATCCTTTCAAAAAATAAACCCTTGATATCATTTCTAGACAACTGCTGCCATGTGCCAATAGGCAAAATTTGTGTTTTACTATTATTTAGTTTCAAGCGACTAGATGTCATCCATTTACTAACATCTGACAAGCAAAAAACAAGGTTTTCCAACAACTCAGCAAAACCAGAACCATATATATATATATATAGATGTTGGAAGGAGCCATATTTTATACAGCATTGTATTAATTCTACCGAATTTTAGGCATTAATCAATTTTAAGTTTGCCTTTTCAATTTTCCGTACTAGAATTTTCCAGATTTTTCAGCAGCAGGGTGGTCAACGCCTGGAACAAGCTGAGCGATAAAATTGTTTTAGTGGATTCAATCAACAATTTTAAAATCAAGCTAGGAAAGCTAGGATATTAGGACATTTATATCGTAGGGGTTCTTACACAGATGCTAGTCTACAGGACCACTTTAAACTTTGTTATGCTATGTTAATTCGGTAGAATTCATACAATACTGAATAAAATATGGTCTTCTTCCAACATATATAACCCTCAGAATGCCTGGAATGAACATTGCTGAATTTAAAAGACAATTAAAGACATGCATTTTTTTTATAATAGCTAATTTCTTTCCATTCTTGTTATTTTGATATGAATATTGGTTATAATTTGATAGCGTTTGTGAAAACTGCTAAAACGAACGCTATATAAATTTTTTTCTATATATATATATATATATATATATATAATGAACCATTTATTATTTTTGTAATTTAACAGTTACAATTCAGTTATGTGGCACTTCCTGATCATGAAACATGTAACAAAGAGTACACAGTTTTATCTCTTCAACGATGGTCATTTCGCTTCGTCTGTAACTGAACTTCTAGAATATTACAAAAAAAATCGAATTTCTTCTACGACAGCTGAATGTCCCAACTGCTTTCTCGATGGACCTGCAATTTGATCAAATTTGTTAATTGAATTAGAGCAATAATAAATTACTTTTAATTGAGTTGTACATTTTTTCAATGTTCTTGGCTAGAGTTCGATGTACGTAAGATTTCAGACAAATAAATGATTGTTTTTTACATAAGTTTTGCATAAATTGTTCCATTTGTAATTTTGAAAACTGCTTTCGTTTGTAGAGCGAACTTTTTAAAAAATAGAAATATTAGTTATTTGTTAAGTTGTACAATACATTGTTAAAATTCATAAAAAGGAAAGACTGTAAGGCAAGGAAGACTTTAGGTCTAAAGCCTCCATAAGAAATAATTTTTTTTAGGAATAAGACAAACTTGAACGAAATCTGTCTAAAAACTTATAGAAATTTGGACTGAAAACTTTCGGCTCACCACAACAATAAAATTAAGTTAAACTTTGTACAAAACCGCTGGTTTTAACAGCAAAATTTGTTAAAAATTGTGTAACAAATAAAAAAAGTCTTGACCAAATTCACCAATCTGTTTCCTCCTATGACTATCATGCGTGTGACCTAACAGTCATGATGAAATACAAAACCTATTCCTATTGATCCTTTATGGTCGCCTTTTTTGTATTCTAGTTTTCAACTTTAACAGCATTTATAACTTAGCACACTGTTACATTTTTTAATTATAATTCAAGTTTATTATTTTCTAACTTAATTTTGTTTTTGTTTTAACCAATTTATCAATAAAACAAAACACAAATCGTAACTCAAAAAGAGTTCAGCAAATTAAGAGTTCTAACAGTCTGGATGAAACAGAAGAGCCATCAAAATAAAGTTCCCGCTCTATGCAAGTTTACACCGCAAATACATTTTCTTGTAATACATTTTCTTAAAAATTTGTATCGCACAGTCTCATTCAAATTGATTCATGATTTTGTCATTCATACTTGACAAAAATCTTAATTAACTCCTAATTTTAACTGAGAATAAAAATGTACTTTGTATAAAAATTTACAGTGTAGAACATAGTTTCAATAAGAAAAACTGATGAAATATGGTTTAAGAAAAGTTGAAGCTTGGTGTGAGTGCAATAGTTGAACCAACTTAGAGCTAAATAAGTCTAAACCAGTCTTTTTAGAAAAAATTATAGGGGATTGTAAGAAAAATTCTAAATATTTGTATGCATTAATATAAAACAAATTTAAAAAAGTCTAGTAATTATGTTTAAATTCACCGTAAAGTGATCATAGTAACATAACATACTTATTGAACTATTTTTTTCTAGGAACGAAGAAGTGTCCAACAGGTGGAAAATGTTTCGCCGAATTGCCTAGACACGTGAGAGATGTGCGTAAAGATATGAATTTAATATGCCTGCTTTATTGTGTCAAACTGAAGAATACAGAAGAAAAAAACTGGGAACCGCAGACTTATGAATTTGCGTTATATGCAAACAAAGAACTTCGCGCCTCAGACCACATCATATAAAAGCTCAAAGTTTCTTTTAATGATGTTAAAAAGGTCATGAAGCAATTTCCTATATTTTGCATAATTATTTTATTATTAATAAATAATTATTATAATTTTAAATAACTATTTAAAAATGAGCCATCCTAGCCCAGCAAACATTAATGGTAAAATTAATGAAACGCTGGCACAACCGCAAGATTGGTTTTTGGAATGCAGCAATGGGCATGAGTCCATCCAACAAAATATTGATAACTTTAGATAATTTTAGGTGATAGTTTTTGTTGTAACGGTTCCAATTACACGCTTTTAAACACTGGAGGAATAAATGATTCGTTAATGTAGAGTAGACCATTCAAAATACTTCAAACCATGTTTTTCCTGATTTAGACAAAAGAAAAGTGGTCGAATGTCATTGAATGATGATGGAAATCTATCCAAATTTAAATAAATCTGATCCTCCAGTTTTTAGTTCATTTTAAAATAAACTAGAAAACGTTTAAATTTCTTTATAATTCTCAACATCGTCTATTTAAAAAAATAACTAGTCATGAAAAAGAACGTTTATATAGAAATAATTTTCAGATTTTTAATTCCTCAAGTTTAAAAATAGTTTCTTTTTAAAAACAAGGTGAAATACTCTCGGCAATTGTTTATTTATAACAAAAATCAGCTAGAGACATCAAATTTGCTAGTTGTTTTCCAATAATTAATCGCAGTTCGAGTTTTCATCCATTTAAAACACCATTCACTTTATTACACTTACATATATCATGTACCTAGCACATCGTATTATAGATTCAAGTTTACGAATTCTGACAGTAATTTCATTCCATATGATTTCACGCATTAAATGACATGAACAAAGAAGGAAAATGGTCAACATTTAAAAAACAGTCATGTCAAACACTGAAATCCAACCGTGAACCTGGTTAGGCCATCATCATGAAAAATTTGACGTAAACACATTTCATAAACACTTTTTTTGTGTTCGTCATCCAGCAAGATTGTATGTTTGACTTCCAAATAATTATGGAAAATTTTGTCGTTGTGATATAATGTAACTGAAAAAGAGCTTAAAATATAAACTTTGAAAAATCGCGAAAGAAAAAATTGTAAGCATTTGAAATCTCAATCCGAATATTGAAATATAGATTTTTCCAATAAGAATTTTTTAAAATTGACACATTTGAATTTATCGGCAAGTTGAAGCCAAGCGTGAATATCTTCACCCAGACAAGAATGTACCAACAAGAGTCGTTCTCTGGAGCAGTACTTCTCTATGTACTGAAGGGATCGTGGAGCCGATGTCACTTCTCCTTCCGGACCATCAATCTAAATTAGCAAATTAATAACGTTTAATTATTAATAATTATTCAAAAATAAACTTTAATAACGTCTAACATATGAGATTTTTTAAAGTATTTATTAAAATATAATAAAACGATTCAACTTTCAGCAGAAGATTCAGGGCATCTTTAAGAAGCGTGATAAGTAGACTACGTATCAGACGATAAACAGAACGTCCGTCTTTCTCATCATGTGAGTCATCATTTGCCATTTCAAGATCACCACTACCATTGTCTGTAGTGGCTCCGTCGATGTTTATCTTGTAGATGACGGGCAACTCGTTAAGAGCTTCCAGAAATTTTAAAACAACCCTGACGAAGCTGTAATCTTGAATTGTAATACATATAATTAATTTTAAGTTATCTACGTTAGGTTATACATGACGACCAAAACTCGTTCTAATAGATATCATATGCAAACCAAGTTACAATCCAAAAAAACTTCCACCCACGTAAGAAATTATATAAACTCCGCCACGTGACTGAACCAACCTTGATTGATGAAGTCTATGTTGGCATCCCAGTGCAAAAAGAGAACGTTAATGACGGAGACAGTAGCTGCTATGACATTTTCATTACCGACTACGACTAAGAGGACGTCGTCACAAAGGTTCCTCAGATAACCGAGGCAAAGGATGCATATTTCACCGGCGTATGTTACTGTTCATTGGAGAGAATCATGATCATTTAAAGAAGCCATATTTGATTTTGTAGAAAATTCATTCAATGAAATATCAATTAAATGATAGGAGTTGAAACATTTCTAGTACAAAGTAAAAATAAGTTTCTATTTTAATGAGACCATGAACAAAATGTTCCGTTGTCTGCATGATAATACTAAACATAAACTATTAGGTTAAATTAGTTAAATTAAATTATTAAATTATTAATAATAAATAAATTAATTAATAAAAAAAATTAAATTATTGAGTTAGTTGTAACAGGTCTCGCTGAAAACCAAATGAAGAATGTTACATTGAACAGAAATAATTGATTGAGGATAAGAACAAACCATCACTAACTAAATAACTAACCAAGGGCCTCAACGCCGTTCTCAGTTGTTGACATGGACTGCAAAACACTCATCAGTTCATTGTACAACTTGCTTTCAAACGATCTGAATCACGTAGTAATAATTTTTACCAGCTTGCTACAGAGCAAATTAATTAGCCAATTTCACAAAAATAGTCGTCAAAAAAATAACCCCGTCTGTTTGAATGCCTCGAGGACAGCGAGGACAAGATCGGGACAACTCCAATGCAAACACATCTCATCACTGACGTCAAACAATTTGGACACAAACTCCGCTGTACTCTTTAACAAGGTTACTACAAATTCCAAGATTTTGTCGATATTTGAGTATGTGACAGTATGAAAGAGAATTTTATGATGTCAGGATTATTTTACCATTTGTGGAACTTTGTAAGATGAACAGCACGCTGGTGAGGATGTGCTGTGACTGTTTAATGGCAGTAATCCACAATCCACAATGCTCCTTGAAGGATATGCACGTTGTCAATAACCTTTATGTGTTGAGGATGAAATAATTAGAATAATTTTTTGAGCGGATAAGCATACCTCATCACTCACCATTAACAACATTAACATCAACACACCACTTAACGTAGCAAAACATGGCCAAACAAATATATAAAAATCCAAAGAAATGAAATAATTTAACGAATAAAGGTGCAGGCCCACCTCAGAGTTTCAATCAGCACAGGGGGGTCATCACATTCGAAAAGACTGAACAGGAACGACCTGAGATGTTAAATGAGTAGAATTTATATTTAACATGGTAATTATTATTTCAACATTTACATTAAACAGCCAAAAACAACATCATCGTCAACAACATCATCGTCAACAACAACAACATATTTGTGACGACAATAACATATTTGTGACTTGAAGTTCAGCAAACGATGCTAAGTAGCTAACATGAATGCATCGTCACTGCTGTACACTTGAAAAATACTCGGAGAGCACATCATGTTTCCTATTATTCCTACACACATTTCCTTTGTGTAATCAAGTCAACAATTTTATATAATATTTCATTATTTATCAACATTTGATTATGTAGTAAACAATGAATAAATAAATGAATAAATAAACGAATAAATAAAAAAATAAAATAAATAAATAAAAACTTTCGCTCTGGGAGAATTTGATTTTTCAATGCATCTGATTAATAGGCTTATTGTTTGGTGTTCATGCAGAAAAGTAACAACATCCTGAAAGTTGAATGTACAGTTAAAACAGCATAATGCTTCAATAATTCAAGTCAGATTAATCTAAAACAATTTTGAAGCAATTAGATAAAAACAACTGTTCATATCTAATTCTAATTGATACCAATGTGGTAACTTGATTTTTTAGAGTTAATTCAAATATATATTTAAAAATTTGCCAATGTATAATTAAATTTCAACGAGTAACTAACTAGTTATGATATTTAGCTAATTATTATTAACAATGCAAATATGCCAACGTCATTCATGGACATATCCCACAGGTGACATACACCATCCTGAACTTCTTCGTCTAATTCAACTAGCTGATTCATGTCATCATCTTCAACATACTACAACATTAAGTGAATAAATTTAACCAAATTTAATTTAAAAAAAAGATGAATTTATAAAATCTTCATAGATGAAAGCTGCTAGCCCAATGATAACTCAAATAAATAATGCCAAAGAGAAAAGCATATCAAACAAAAAGATGCCAAATATAATTATGAGATCCAACATTCAAAGGTGATTTATACTAACATCATTTAAAACTTAACAAAGGATAAAACGATAAAAGTAAATGTGCATTAATACTATTATTTAATAGCAAGAGTAAAAGTGTACAATATTTACAATGTCAATTGGCTGAAAATGAAAAGCACAAACAGACAAGAAATTTTAATTTAAAGACAGAATTTAGGATAGTTTCATCAGCATTTACTAATTATAGTTTGCTAAGTCTTAAGTGTTAATTTAAACAGTAAAAAAAATTACTGTTCACTTGCTTGACAAAGTGTTTAACTTTAACCACTGTCATCAATTGAAATTTAAAATTTAAGGCTTAAAATTTAGGCTGGTTAAAAAGTTGAATTTTATTATCTATTTTCCTTCTTAATTATTTTTCTCAGTAAAAATAAATTATAAAACTAACGCAGCCAACCTTCAAAATGTTCAACAGTGTCGACAGCACCCAACGTTTACTAAATGCGGTGTCCCCTATGGCGTCTGCTTTCAACAAGTCTTCATTAATAAATTCCTTCGGTGGCTCTGGATTTGACGTCATCTCATGGCCGTTGTCATCCAGTTCGTCATCATCATCCAATTCATCGTCTGGTTCATTCACAATGTCGTCACCTGCTCGAAGGTAGCGAACCGGGCTGGGAGTATTTAACCAATTTTTGGAAATTATTGAGATGTTGTTGATGACAGGGGTCTGGTAAGGACTGGGAGGAGGGATATTCAAATTTTCAAAGTTTTTTCTTTCAGATTCTTCTGAATCATTACCAGATTCCTCCATTCGATTTTTTTTATGTTCTATATGATAAAAATATGAAATAATAATCAGGAAAAAACTGCCAAACAAACCAGCAAAATTTTGTACTAAATTTTATATTTATATCTAAAAAAATTAGCCAAACTCAACAAAACTGCAAAGAAATGAGCTGAGTAACTAAAAGTGCAACTAAGTTAAGTATAGATATGTGCCGTTAAGCCTAATTATTTGGATTTTATTTTGTATCAATATGACTTATATATTATATACACATATTTTATTAATATGATATCTATATATGTGAAATGACTACAATATTTTGCATCTGGCATATATACGTAGAATAAATACTGTATACCTTTCAGAAAAAAATTACAATATATAACGTATAATTGAAAATTTGACAAAAAAAATTTGCCAATTCGCAATAATAATTCATATTCTAATTAATGTGTTTCTCTTAACATATGCCGACTGAATAATGTCAAAACCGTAATAACGAAACGTAGGTTTATCTATATTATTTTACTCATTTAACATTTTTTCGGATAAGATATTTCAGATGTTCTTTTTTTAAATTTAGTTGTGGTTAGTTTGTAATTGTTTTAATGTTCATCTTTATCATTCGGTAACGCGTTCGTTGTTCTCGTGCGATGACAGACATTCATGAACTGAACAATTTGTATGTGGATCGTTGCTTATAACAATATAAATGGCGCTATAAAAACAAATTTACTGACTGATTACGATACAATACAATACGAAACGATACGATATGATCTTTTTTTGGAACATAGCAACATTGCAGGAAAAATCATTTTTTAAAATGTCATTCTAAGTCCTTGGTCCTCTACAGACAACATGAGAATCCCACAAATATGTTCTCGAATTGTTGGTCATCAGATAATTGACACGTCTAAGGTGGTTGACTATTTTAAAATATTCGTCTATCGTTGGAGGAAGCTTCTTGGAAAGTTGCTTGAAGACAAAAATGGCTGTGAAATATTTACTGATCTGATTAAAATTTAAATTACTAGTTGAGAAGAAAAGTTGACTTGTGTGGGTGGGTTGTTTAGATAGCGTTATCACCCTTACTGCTCTCTTCATCTGAATTTTTATTGAATTTGTAGTTGAAGGATACGCGCCAGCCCACACAACGTTACAATTATTTATGTGAGGTCTGCAGATAGCATTATAAAGCAGATTCAAACATTTTTTGAATGGAAGATTTTTATTTTATTAATTATGTCTATTGATTGAGCCAATTAGTTGGAAATGTGCTGAAAGTTAGTTTCTGATCTAAATACACTCCAAGGAATTTAATTGTTTCACTTTCTAAGATTTCATTGAAGATTGACTGATGACAAGCTGATAAAAAATTATGTTCCGTTTTAAAATTTGATTTCTCATTCAGGCAGATAAAACTGTGATCTTATGTTGTAGCACAATATGTAAATATTCATTTACTAAATAAATAAATAACTAAATAAGTAAATAAATATCGAAATAAATATGAAGATAAACAAATAAATAAGCAAATAATTAAACAATGTATATATTAACAATCATAAGGACAAATCGTTGAATATATGAAAAAGTGAGTGGAACTATTTCGTAACTACTCTGCAGATGTTAGTATAGCATAATGCCAACAAGCGACAATGTTAAGCAAAATTGTGCTCTGCAATTGTGCTATTGCATGCTAATTCAAATCACGACACACGTTAAACTTAAAGTATTCTTGCAGTTCAATTGATTGCTTGTTTGATTTTAAATGTGTGTTGTGACGTACAATGAACATGTTTCAAATATATCAGTTGTTGAGTTTTATAAAACATGTATTTGTGCGCTGCCTCTGAGGTTGCTGGTTGATACACAACACATTTGATGCTATTACAATAAATTAAATTAACTACCAGCAAGAAATGTTTTTTTTAAATAATTAATTGTAAACATGCTTGAATAAATGATTAATAAAACAAAAATTCTCACAAAACATCTCTTGTCTCAAACCAAGATACAATCAAGATATATACATAATAACGAATATACTTCATGTTGCTTTAAAAATTTGTAATTTCAATCAAGAAACCTCTCACTGTCCCTTGCCGCACTACTGTTTTTGAAACGAAACAATGCACTTATTTAATAGTCATTGTTATACGAGTTAAATAAAATTCACGTATGGCTCAAATTCATGAGTTACGCAATGAGCAACAGATCTGAATCATCATTCATCTCTGTTGATGTTTATTGTCTGTGTTACCGGTTACTGACATGCATATAAATATTTATCAACATTTCCAAATAAATTAATAAATTAAGCGTCTTAACAAAAAAAAAAACAAAAAAAAATATACGTCCACTAGTTAAATTTTATATAAAAATTCTTCCAATGTTACCACCGGCCAACTGATTCACCGCAATAATTAACTAACTAGCATACAGACAGACAGACGAATACAAAAAAACAAACAAATAAACGTTATTTTAAGCGTTGCGAAAATCAATTAAGACAACATACGCGCGCGCGCACACACACACACACACACCCACACACACATACACACAAACACACAGAGTCACAAGTTTATTTTAACAATAAACATGAATCTTCTGTTGAATCAATTACGTTATAAATAGCTTCTGAACAACTTTATCAAGCGATCCTTTCTGAAGACATGATGTTTCTGAAGTAAAACCAAAGACACCTAGCCTATGCCTAGATGAAATAAGACAGCGAATTTAAATTTTTTTTTGGTATTATTTAGAATTATTTCTGAGTTTGTAAAATTACGGGTGCAATGTTGGACAGGACAAATCTTCTTATTATTGCTCTTCTTTCGAATCAGGTGGACAGCGCCGGTGAGAGTTAATGCCATAGATTTCCTTTTCAAATTATTCAAAATATTATTCCTTATAAAACGTTTTGCATTAATTTATTATATTGAAATTAATTTATTTAATGGTTTTTAATTTTTCTTTTAACGAATATTTTTACTACCAATTGGTTTGTGGATTTGGTTTTCATCATTACAAACAATTTTTAAATAACGTATCAAGTTAAACTCATACTTTGTGAGTATAATTAACGCAGTTATAAACGACACACTTTAATTTTTTTTAGATAAATACTTGTTGGAATCTGAAAATTTTAATTATTATATAATTTTCAAACAAAATTAAAAATTAAAATTTATAGCCGATGATTGCACTTTTGGTGTTTCGCTGCAAACGAACAAAACCAATCCATCGAGCTTAGAGGATGTGATCCACGACAATTCACGGAATGCACTGCACACCACATCAAACTTGTGTCGGGTCACTCTGGATAGTTCTTGGAACTTTGTTGAAGTGTGCGCCGGAGTTGGACCTTCAAGTGTTGTTCGGCTGCAGAGTTTGGGAGCGTATCTCTCTCCCGTTGGATTTGATTGGCTTGGCACCTCACAAAACGGTTTAGAAACTGGATGCAGATCAAGTGCATTGAGGTTCACGTCTGGAGTTTCATTCAGGTTGAACGTTTTGTCGGGAGAGCTTTCAAGTCCGGATCGTCAGGCGGGCTGGTCGTCATTCAGCATATCCAACGCTATGAAGTTCTATTCAGATTTTTTCAGCGGGTATTCCTCGGTTGGACTAAGAAAGTTGGTTAAATTTTAGAATTTTTTAGAATGCAACATTGTGTTATTTAAAATCTTTTATCATAAAAATCATATATTTTCAGTTACCAAACAGTTAGATTTGAAAATATTCAAGCAAATCCAACTAATGAAAACTACAACGCGGCAGAGCATACATATTCCTGCAAAAATGGAGAAAATTATTTTTTCAGCTTTTCTGCTGGCGTTCTTCCTTTCACTAAAACCAGACTCGCTTTGGATGGACTTGATAAAGTTTTCTTTGCGCAAAGAATGAGCTCAAACATAAACGGCCTTACAACCATATCCAGAAGTGTTTTGGTGCCTTGCAAAAGAAATGTTCAAATCGTTCTTTACAATGGGCAGATAGTTACAGGCAGCAATGCAACTTTAATCCATTTTATGGCCTTTCCATATGAAAGAAATAACGGTCAGTCTGCGTCTTGGGCCGCTTATAAAAAGAGTAACTCAACTAACCAACAGTATTTGTCATTTGAAACTTGGGATATAATGCAAAATGTACTAGCAGTCGACAACAGTAAAATTTTGATCTCTGTATCAGGACATTACTATGTGTACGTGAGCATCGGAACATCTCCAAATAAAATATCGTCGGTCAGCCTTCGAGTAAATGGAAATATAATTTTTAGATTGGAAAGACTTTCTACAAATATTGATGGAATTGATGTTCTTGGACACGGAATTATGATTTTTTTGAAACAAAATGATGCGGTCCAAGTAGCAGTAGAAAATCAATCTGTGATATGCAGTGAGGAGTTTGGATATCAGACCTCATTCTTTGGAATGCTTATCAATGAATAAATGAAAACTGATTCAAACATTTGGTTATCAAAATTATAAATTTTTAGAATTGTTGTAAACTTTTAAAAGTGTTTCCTTGATAAAATCTTCATTGGACCAATTTCAAAAATTTGGACCCCTTCATTTGGTTCACATTATTAACAATCTAGGCAATCTGAATTAAATGATTTTGTTATTTTAAATATTTTAATAGTATAGCTAAACTAAATAAAACGAAGTAACAGTGTTTTGCGAATGAGTAACGTTAGAAACAAGTGCTTGCAGTAGCGTGCTCGCTCAATTAAAAATATCAATTGCATTCTAATTTTGCAAAAATACCTTTGAGCAATGTAATAAATGTCATTCTGAAAAGAAAACACCCTTCTATGTAGAATTATAATGTTGCTTATTTTTCACTGATACTAACACTGGCAGGCATGTTGTTGGTTACCTGCTGTTCAGTTCACAACAGTCTGTCCTTTTTTATTTTCGGTTCTTTTTTATATTTAATTAGATACTATTGAACGATATGATAGGTTCGGCCAAGATCTGTTCATCTCCTGTAGGATTTATGCATTAGTGAAGACATATTACTTTTACATTATCACCCAATCACTTTTTACTTCATCTATCCATTTGCTCCATTTTTTATTTGAACATTTACACGAAACTGAACATCATTCCATAGAAAGAATGAACTTACTGCAGATCCTACTCGGATGTTCAAAACTTCGTTGTTCGTTAGACTTATAAATAAAACAGGATGTATTTATTAAACAAATTTCTAAATGTACGAACAAATTTTGTTGGCAGTTAATTAATAAAAATGCAAATCAATTAATACGTCACTTAACGACCTCTTAAAAGTTTGAAATAAATGAACAACCATCTTAACGTGATAACTCAGAACTATTCTTAATTCAATTGTGTTGTTTGACAATAAATATCAAAATATTTGGTGGTCTATGATTGTTAATGAGGATTAGAACTTCAGTTCTTTGATCAGTAAAGTAAACACGCAACGTTAATAGATTAAAGAGCCGAGAGATATCAATATAATGAGTTTCATCAAAAGCTTGTAGACTTTAAACGAGTTCGTTTCAAATTTTGTATTCACATCTCTATTGCATTGTAAACGTTTTCTCCGCTGGCAGGATTTAATACAATTTATACTTTACAGAAATGACATCCTGCAAAATAATAATTGTTACGGTGTTAATTAGTGGATTGTTGTACAGATTTTTTGAAATATTGTGAGATATTTTCGGTTGTTTAAAATCCTGATTATTTATTAAAAGAATTTGCTGTAAAAATTCATTTGCATACGACCATCATATAACTATTTTTTGAGATGTGATTATTGTTAATATCTAATTAAATTATGAATTGTTTGGTGTTTTGGCATATATATGTCAACAAAATTGAAATAAAATAATAACAGTAAAAAATAATTAGTTTTAATTCTGCATTAACTAAACAGAAAAAGTTTGAAAGCCGACGCAGAAACATTCAACCATTCAAATGGAGTTTGCACTCTGATCAGTGGAATCGGTATAAAATATTTTTCAACGTTGAATATTTGTATGTATTCGTGCATTAAAACGATGTACGTAAATAGTTTAACGTTTATCAACGAATAAATAAATATTTTATGTAAATGAAGAACGCGATCAAAAGAAAAGACCCATGACAAAAGATTGAAAGAAAGAATTATGCCAAGTTGAGACTGACTTTAAAATAAATGTAACGTGTGTAATCGAAAGTGCTCGCTCTACAAATTTGCAAAATATTCTACTTTTTTTTAGGTTATAAATTAGTACTAAAATAAAAATGTAAAGTGAGTAAAATATAGAGGGAAAAGAGAAAAAGCGAGAGAAAAAAAGACACGTGCACAGTACATTTCATTTAACACCAAATGATATACAGCACTTATCCTACTCTTTTTTTGCATTCAAACCAGATTACTTCAACTTAAGACCTGCTGCTCTACTAATTATGTCCTGTAAGAATTATTATATAAACTTTCTTTATACTTATGATGACGATGTTGTTGATTAAGGTTGTTGTCATTGCGGGTTTTCAGTTGATGGTTTTCGTGAGAGTTTCCCAGCGCCGTAGGCTGTACAACCAGACCAAGTCTTTGCTCTTGAAACCTGCGTTATTTCTTTTCGGGTCACGCCACGTTTCCATTGTTTTGGTTCTTCTAGCCATAAACAAACGTTGTGGTTTTTTTCTTGACTTTGTTGGCACATGAAGCAAATGCATCTTTCTACTGTTTTTACGAAGAGTTGAATGGCCAAACGAGGAGCTAAGTTGAATGTTGTAATATTTAATGTTGACATCTTTCCTGTAGATCAGCGATACAAATTTCATCCTCATCAGCAATGAAGCCGTTGTTAATGTCATCATCCAGGTAGACAAAAACCAAGCTTTATTTCCAGGTGCGTTTTCAAAGGGTTTTCTCAAAACTTGAACCATCGTCTGTCACCGATTCGTGTCCGGAATGAATATTCGCATTAGCATTAGAATCATCTACCCTGAAATCGTTAATTTCTAGATTAATGCTTCCTCATATTAACATCTTGTCAAATCATCATAAATTGAATTGCTGGTGAGTGCTGCATCGAAATCGTAGTTGCTATTGACGTTAATGCTGTCGGTGTTATCGATGAAAAGAGACGAGTTAGCAGAAAGATCCGTTTAGTAGCCCCACTGCAAATCCTAAGTTTATTTCAATGTCCTTTTCACTGTCAACTTCTCCAATATTTAAAAAATCTTCATCACCGTCGTCTTTTATCTGCCAACTTCATCATTACAATGACAACTTCCTTTCTTCAAGTCAACTCGTGCGTTGCAGTTGTCATGTGCGAAGCAGATATATGGTGCATCGCAGTTAACATGTGCTTCGCAGTTGAAATCATCTGTAGGAATGATAGACTTGCGCTCGCTAATGTAATTGTAGATAGTTGAACTATCTGATAAGATGCCAAAATCTTGTATACCCGTTGCTGGTCCGGTCAGACACAATTTTCGCTCCTCCGGTTTGCTATCCAAATTTATTTTTGTGTTGTTTTCGTTTGTCACTTGAACGCGTTTGCCTTCATTGTTAAGTTGCTTGATATGTCCTATTAATATTGCTATGAAGTCTCTTGTTTGTTCTTTTTTTTGCTTATTCCGTCAAAGATGTTGTTTAGTTTCACTGCCTATAGATCGAATCTTCAGTTCAGCAAACTGTTTTCCTTCTCTCCTTTCGAGTCGAGGTTTCGTTATCGTAGTTTCTTCCTCAGATAAGTTGTATTGAGTTCTTCTGATGCTGGATTCTTTATTGCAGGAAGTTTCGATCTATCAAAAATCTTACTTCTGACACCAATGTTGTAACCTTTAAACGCTCGTTACTACAGACACCAATGTTATAATTTAAACGATCTCTATATTTCCAACACCACTGTTGTAGCTTTCAATAATGGTCAAGTTATCATTATTCTGTAGGTTCAAAATTTCCGATAGATGAACACAACTGCTTCAAAAGCAAACTTTGTCGAGCGTTTATTTGAAAACCAACAATAATAGAAACACTAAACTAATCCAAGTAACCACATAAATCACATTTACAGCTTCGTTTCAAATTCTCTTCTGACTTCTCTACTTAACCTTCTTGTTTACAAGAGACTCTAAAAATCCAAAGATTAAAAATATAGTAAAGATAATAAAGATAACAAATAATCAAGATAACAAATAATATAGCTCAATTTGACCATTGCAACGCTTATAACAATATTATGTATGTTCGACGTTTGAAAAGTTTTTCAATAACTAATGCAGAATTTGGTTCCGAAGATATAAAAGTCTTGCTAAATGGAAAGGCATTCGTTTCATCGGTTGGATTTTATTTCAAACTAAAAATATTTTATCAAATATCATTTAAGCTCTTAATATAGTTAAATGTAAATCTATTACAATAGATAAATATTTTGACGTTAGAAATGTTGGGAATTGCATATATTATCAAGTTTTATTTACAAAATTTTACATCATCGTCATCTACGTTTATCAGTCATGATCTACAACCTCATCATCATGTACTTCATCAAGATTTGTCGTATCAACTTCCTACTTTCGTCCATTGACTTAAACCTCGTCTATTTTTTAGGACAACAATTTTTCTTTACATATATTAACTTTATCATTTTTACGATTTTTTCACGTTGGTGATTGTAGAGTTCACCAACTTTCCTTTATTTCATCAGAAATTTGTTTACCACAAATCTTCGAAATGAAATAACACGTAATTCTACCTCCGACTTAACTGTAGGAAGATACGATATCTTCATTTTCCCGCTATATTGCTTAATTTTTTGATTATAGCATTAATTTTTTTTAATTTAATTTTGTTACTCTCGATTCTAAGTTCAATTATTTAAACTAATTATTACTTAACAAATCATTTAAGTAAGTTAATTTCAGAGAAGATATTTTCAAACTCCAAAACCAACATGGAAATCAAATTAATTTATTTTTAGTTTTTACCACTATTTTTTAATCTGCCACGCCTAAACGTAGGAACGCCATCAACCATACACGCTCTACTATACACATATAATATCATAATTCATATTATCAACTGCACGAGCGCTTCATTACTGATCTTGATTGAGAAATGCCTATATTAAAACAAAATATATTTTTTCAAAAAGAAATCAAGTTGTTTCTTTTTTACACTAAGGGTCTTCAACTTTTTGGCGAAGGCAAAAAGAATTCTGTGGGACGAATATTTTTGTTTGATTTTAAAAAACCTCACGAAAAAGTTCTGAAGCTTGAAGTTTTGGATGAAAATAGTAGAGAAATACCATTGACTCCACATGGCATGGATATCTGGGTTGACAAAAAATCAGGTGGTTAAATATGCTTGAAAGATCTTTCCTTATTAATAATACTACCTCTCGATTTCATCCAGGCATTACATATTTGTACGTCGTAAATCATTACGCTGGAATGGAAAGTGTGGAAAAGTTTCAATTTCTTCCGGAGTTAAAACTGGTTCGAGTGAAACAGTTTCGAGATAAGAATTTTATTTTGTTAGCTTTAATTTTCTAATTAAATTTTATACGAATATAAGTACGAATATGAAATTTATAAAATGTTTACAAATTAAACGGAGGTTAAACGGATTATACATGATTAATGAGGATCAGTTTTATTTCACAAACTCCTACTATTTCAACAACGCTGTGGAGTTTTTGCTTGGATTAAAATGGGGAAGTGTTGGATTTTTCGACGGAGCAAAGGCGGAGCTCGTCTTGAAGGGATTGAATTTCCCTAATGGTATAATCAAATGGAAAAAGTAAATTAAAGATTTTTAGACCAATAAAAATTTTGTCTTACAGTGTATTATATATAATATAGTTTTCTCGCAGTTGGAATGATAACTTCTGAAAAATTGAATTTGTATTCCATTGGAAATGATCATTTTTTGACGCTTAATAAAGTAATTTTTTTTTCTAAATTTAAAGTTTGCTATGTTTTAGTTGCATTACCATACTACAAATAAACAGAATGAAAAATAATTGATAGCTACAATTTTTCAGTCTATTGATGTTGGCTCTGGACTTGATAACCTGAGTTTAGATCCCAACAATGGGGATTTGATTCTGGGATGCCATCCTTCCATTTATAGAGTGGTCAAACATTCCGCAGATCCAGATGCCTTTAAAGCTCCTTCACAGGTACTTTTCTACTTTTCATTTTTATGCATCCAAATACAAACTTCGAATATAATATTAAAAAATAGCCATTTTATTTATAAATTTGTCAAATAATTACGGTTTGCAAATTGTAAACTATCAATTTTTAAGATTTTGCGTTTGAAGTATAAAGAAGATGAAACGACGGAGTTGTCTGAAATATACAGTAACGACGGGTCAGAGGTTTCCGGGTCGAGTGTGGGCGTGCTGTACGAGGATGGCATGCTCATTGGCACTATCTACACGGACATGTTGTACTGCAAACTCGATCGTAACAAAAAGTCTTTCTGAAATTGCCTGCTGAACATAAATTTATTTAAAATTTATATTTCGTTGAATTATAGCCTGCAAGCTGTATGATCAAATAAACATTGGCTTCAGACTGCATTATACAAAGTGCGCTACAATGACATTAAAATTGTTTTTAGATAATAATAAAATGACTAAAATTTGAGTCTATGGATGGTTTCTTCAAAACAGCCACTTAACAGCATCTTTATTTGTCATCAGAATGTCGACTGCCCGCAGAAATGGTTATCTGCTGTCAACAAATTTTTTTCTAGGTGTTCAAATGCGACAGTTGCCTACCAGTTGGTTGGTTTTTGAATGTTGGTTTTCGGAACTAGAACTTAATAACGAATTTTTAGAATATTATCTGATTTGTATCTTTCGACGTCCAAAAATGAAATACAGTTTGAAATAAACATTTCAATCTAATTTATTGAAAGAAAACAAAGTTTTGTTATTTGAAACATTTCATCGATAAGATTAGTGCGCATAATCTGACTACTTTATTTTTCAACCAAGAGCATATTTTAAATGTTTAATATTTATAAACAAAAAAGGATCGCGAAAATATGTAATAAATGTTTTGAAAACAACATTAAACATCTTCTTAAATGAATTAAAAAGTTACAAGGTAGGATTCAGCGAAGAGATTAAAGCTGTTTACCTGCGTGGAGACTAAGTTTTAGACAGCGCAGTCTATCTACACGACAGTCATGAATATTACAGCAATGTTTACAACAACGTACGCATGTTAAAATGAAGCATGGTGAATGAATAAGCCAGCTCTTTCAACTTTTATTAGTGCGAGAGAATTTATATGTTTGGTTGAAATAAGATTTGAATGCTTCTGCTTATTAATCCAATATGGGATTAATTAAATCAACGATTCTGGTACTCATTTCAAGTTTTCTGTTGTTCAGGATAGTATCTCTTTGGTAAGAAGTATGTTCTATTAAAATTAAAAATAATAAATTATTTATTGTAGATATACTTTTAATGAGAAAATTTTCTAAATTTAAAATTATTTTTGGGCATTAATTAAATTAAGTGTTTTATAGTGAGAAATGTTTTATGTTTATTTATTTATATAAATAAGTTATACATATTTGTCATAACAATGCAATAAGATTTTGACACACTCATAGTAAAATAACATACGTACTTAACTTAGTCAGGTAACGAATATTATACACAGCATTTGTTCTTCGTACATAATAGCAAATGTTATTTTATCAACACTGGTGTACAAATGGTGGCATGCATTGTATATTATAACAAAGCTATAACTTAGCAAACATCTACCTACAGAAAGTTGTAAACATGAAAATATGAAGCTGCATGCAACTCAACAAGCATAACTCAATGTTACGAACGGAAATTATTTACTAGGTTTACTAATGATTATAACCAAAAGTTTTAAACAATACATTCGAATCAACACAAGTCATAAATTAGTGTGTATGTTTGCGCTTGTCTGTGAGAGTATGGTATGTGCGTGCAAAGAAAAATTATCTTGAAAAATATTCTTCATTCAATGTAAATGGAATCTTTCTTCACGATTAAAAAATAAGAAACAATTCAGCAATTGAGAACCACACTCCTCGTCGATAAAAAAAAACGTTTATAGCAGGAGTGGGCAAACTACGGTCCGCATGCGGCCCGCCAAGCCACTTTATGCGGCCGCGAGGCTGTGCACGTAATTAAAAAAGACGAATGAAAAATGAAAGGTTAGAAACGTTATAAGAAGAACAGACAGATAACCAAGAGAAGACCTTCTTATATATATTTATGCGGCCCTCCAAAGGTAAAATAATTTTCAATGCGGCCCTCACAGCAAAAAGTTTGCCCACCCCAGGTTTCTAGAGTATTATTCTACAATAGAATCGCTGCGTAAAAACAGTCAAGAATGAAATTCTAGCCAAAAATTTATAAATATATTTGTGTAACTATGCCTACAACTACAATAGAATCGCTGTGTAAAAACAGTCGAGAATGAAATTCTAGCCAAAAATTTATATATATATTTGTGTAACTATGCCATGTGTCTTGCTAAAAATTGGTCATTTTAGTTTTCTCATCGAAATATTTTTGAGAATTTTTAGTTAAGGCACTATTACAAGTATCTTCCTGTTTACTTTTTGGGTCTTTGAAGAAATAAATAAATAAATAAAATAATATCGCTGTGTAAAACCAGTCAAGAATGAAATTCTAGCCATAAACATAACAAAAAATTATGTAAAAAGTTGTCATAATGGCTCGGCAAAATGTCTTATTAATTTGATTTAGATTCAGCAAGACCTGCTTTCAAATACAAACTGATCATGACCATAGTCTGTACACATTTATTGATGTTAATATCTTAAAACTAGAACATAGAACAATTAAAATAGTTTGTGTTATAATTAATTATTTTATTGAAAATTTCAGATAATATCTGAGGATCTTTAGTGAAACGTACAATCATTCAAGTGGTACATGCAGAACTGTTGACGGAATAGGTTTGAATTCTAAGCTTTTCGTTTTAATTGTTCCTCCCTCTCTCTCTTTCTCTCTCTCTCTCCATCCATCTTTTCTGTTTCTTTCTCTCTCCCTCCTTCAGTCGTTTTTATTCATTCTGCCCATCTGCACATGCATCAACGCACGCACATAACAATTCAAACATTGCAGTTTAAAAAATATAATTAATGTGTTAATTTAATTTTTACTCGAAGAGTTCGGCTCAGAAGACATAAAGTTGCTACCTGGTGGGAAGGCATTCGTATCGTCCGTGAGAAAATTCATTTCATTTAATTGTTTTGAACCTATTTCTTGGCGAAGTTTATTAATATTATTTTTTACAGTTTAGCAGAAATGGATTGTTGATTTGATGAGTTTAGTCATTTGTTTATTAAAAATAAACAAAATTATGGAAAAGTTTGTTGTTATGTGTGAATGTACAGGGTGTCAGTATGTATGTAAAAGATGTAAAGATGTCGGTATGTATGTTCAGTAGTTATTTTAATCCAATGAAATTGTTACGGCAGGGTTTCAAGTTGTCGAACGATGGACGAAAGAATTCGGTTGGTGGAATATACTTGTTCGATTTCAACAAACCCAGCGAGAAACCTCTGAACCTTCTGATGGTGGATGAACGTGGCCAGCAGTTGCCCATCACCCCACACGGGTTGTCCTTCTGGACGGATGCAGCTTCAGGTGCCACAATTTATTTCAATAAATGTAGGAGGACATTAATTCGGTGATGACTGGAACAGGGGTGACGTACTTATATGTGGTGAACCACCACAACGGCGTGGAAAGCATTGAAAAGTTCAGGTATCACCCAGAAGAAAAGAAGCTTGTTCGAGTTAAACAATTCAAAGATGAAACATTCCATGTGTTAGTTTATTCAACTTATTCATGGTTGCAATTATGGATTTGATTTACTAAATGAAACTTGTCTGTTAATGTTGAATGGTTCAAATAGGAAAAATATAATTAAAAAATTTAATTTAATGATTCCAGGTTGAACAGCATTCATTTGGTTGGAGAGGATCAGTTTTATTTCACTAACTATCTCTTCTTCAATGCCTACTTCGAATTATTTTTCGGATTGGAATGGGGAAGTGTCGGTTACTTCAACGGGGAGCACGGGGAACTCGTCGTCAAAGGCTTAAACATTCCAAACGGTGTCATCATGTGGAAGAAGTTGGTTCCTACATTTGTTTTGATGCATACAAAATTTTGTTACTCTCAACTGAAATGTTGAATTATACGCCACCAATAGCCATCTCGTCGTTGCGCTAAGTGGATCTGATGAGTTGAATGTTTACTCCGTAGCAAAAGATCATCAACTAAATTTAGAACGCGTTAGTAAGCTAAAATGAAAGTGTGGATGGTGGAAGTTTGTGATGGTGTTCTTAGAGTTTGTCGTTCCTCCCGCCAGACAATCCCAGTAAAGACCTCCGTGGACAACTTGAGTGTTCATCCGGAACATGATGATTTGATACTCGGGTGTCATCCATCCCCATTCAAATTTCCCTTTCATTCTCGTAATCCGGATGCATATTTATCTCCGTCTCAAGTTAGTTTTTAAATTATTTAGAACAAAAAATTGGTCTTTTTAAAATTTCTGAATCCTTTTTTCGACAATCATTTTTTATGACAATTTAGTTGTTTCTTATAATAATTAGATTTCTATAATTTTCCAAATGTTTTTGGCAAATACTTAGCTTAACCGCAACACGTGTTGTTGTGATAATAAATTACTTGGCTTGAAGTTTTGGTTTGAATAAATTATTTTGCTTTGGAAACTGTACAGAATAGTTTTTTTTTCTATGAAGTAATTTTTTAATTGATATTCTAATTTGTTTATTTGGCATAACTTTAAATTACAACTAAGTTTTTAAAAACTATTTCAACGGCAGTTATGGTGGATAACTTTTCATTTTCTTAGGATTTAAAAACCGTCATTTCCCTTAAATGTTTGCCTCTGGGCGGCGCGCTAGTGTAATGGTAAAGGCGCTTGGCATTGCTGTTGCAGTGACTGGATTTGAATATAAAAAAATCTCCGCGTGTCGCATATGATGTCTATGAAGCGTAGATTAATGTGTATTTATATGTGCTTATCAAAATACACAATGCAAAATTTTAAGAACAGAGTGATATGCACATACAAACTTATCTCAGTGATATCCTAGTTATTTTATTTTACTTCTTGCCGACAAATATTTGGATTTAAAAAATTAATCAATGCAATTTTTAGGTTTTACGTGTAAATGACAAAAGTGAAGTGACAGAAATCTACAGCAACGATGGCAGTGAGCTATCGGCGTCAACAGTGGCGGTCCTCTACAAGGATGCCATGCTCATCGGGTCGGCATACACCAAGCTGCTCTATTGCCAGTATGATGGATCAAGAAAAACTTTTTAATTATTATCTCTTCCTCCTTATGTGTCGGCTTTAATCTATCAGTATAGTTACAAATTAGTGTAATTTGACTATGGGAGTTACGTTTTAGTAAAATTGATCAATCTCTGTTTGTAATGCGGTATGAAAGAGGTTGGTTTATTTCAATTTTAAATAAATCCCTCTTCTGTCGGGAACTTCAAACATTAATGAACATTTTCAAATTACAAAATTTTATTGGCTGTTTTGAATGTTTTGTTCATTTTTTGAAGTTTTTGGAATTGTTAATAAATTAAAGTTCATTTTTCAAAAAAATTGAATATTTTGGATTCGTTTGTCATTCAGTGGTTTCGATCTTACTTTAACTTACACTCAGAAGAAAAACAAAAGAATATTATTTTTAATCATCTCCTTTCATGGCAGATACTCTCAATGAATAGATTAATTTTGTCATGAATAAAAGCTGAACCAACAAAAAAAATTACATAAGAAGTTATTTTCCTGTTGAAAAATTAAATAGGAAAAACTAATAATAAAAATTATTCTGTAGGACATAATTGAATTTGCAACTTGAATACCATCAGTATGATTAATAATAAAGACAATATGGGGGGATGTATTGCTGCTCTATTTCAACCATCTTAATCATCTTCATCCTCATTATCTTCATCTTTCCTTTTCATCATCATCATCTTTATTTTCACCAACATTATCATCAATCGTTACATTAATTTCTTCAAAACTGTTTTCCTTATTAACCAACGTCACCATCACCGCCATCATCATCATCAGGAACATCATCCACATCAGGTGATCAGGTTCCTCGCTAAAAATAATTTTCAAGTTTTAATAGAAACCACACCACAGCTCAGTTCTTAACGCTCCATTATACCACACCACACAACACTAGGAAACAATGACATAATAACCACAACACGCCACAACACGCCACAACACGCCACAAAACACCCACCCCAACAATAAGACAAAACTTTACCACAGTACAACGTAACACAACTTTACACAACACAATGTGACACAAAATCCTACAATACAGCATATCACCACACAACTTCGTCACAACATTACACGACACTCCATCACACTTACACGAGATGGAACGGAAAGAGCAGGTATGCAAAGAAGAAGCTGCAATTTTCATTTTTAGGTTCGTTTTTTATCATCCTGCAATCATCATCTTCATCATTTCTATTCATCGACTCTTCATTATGTTCAGTCTTATTAATAAGCAACACACTTTCAACTTCTTGTTAAGTAAAATTTTGGATTATTTCATTTCCTTTCTGTAGAAAATATATTTTAAATTCGATTTTTCAATTGAAAATATTTTGTTTTTTTCAGCAGCAACAATGGAGGAGGTCTGATGTATTGATCCATCGGGGAGCGAGAGAAAAAGAGAGAGCTTTTAATTTTCTATAATTCGATTTGTGAACGCGTATCACAAGCAGTGAACCAACCTTCATCCGAAGCTTGTGCATTACACACTCAAGAACCAACAAAGCAACATTATTTTTTCTCCATTTGAATACTAAAGAAGAAATATTAAAAAAATGTTTTACCCGCAGACGTTGTTAGTGGTTGTCTGTTGGTCGGTCGCTTTGAAGTTTAATATTGCGTGTTACATCTTTCCAAGCGACATCAGAGATCCGTGCCTCGGAAGGAATTGCAGTTTCGGAGCGAAATGTGTGGCCTCCCTCGACGGCATGTCGGCCAGATGTCAGTGTCGCGAGGTTGGTCCACTGCTTGCTTGCGTACGTTCATGTCCCAAATGTTTTTCATTTTCTGAAGTTACAAACATCCATGTCTCAAATGTTTTAAATTGCTTGATTTGTCTCCCCACAAACCAGCAAAATGTTTAATCTGTGAACCTATTCAGCGCTTCTTATTCAACAAGAGTGAAATTATTATAGAATTTTATATGGTGCATAGTTAATGAAGTAATTAGGTAATGTTATATCATTTTACATAATTTAAAAATTATATTTTGTTGTATGAAACCGCCAGCACGTTGTTCTAAATTGGTTTAAAATAACATCAACAACAACGACATTCTTAAAACTCTACCAACAACACTGGTAAAAACAACATCAACAACTAGAATAACAAAAAACATCATCAATTATAACAACAAAAACATAAACAACAACAACAGCAGCAGCACCAAATAACGGCCACACCAACGGTTGCAGGTGTGTTACAACTACGGAGACAGTGAGGGGAGCACGCCGATCTGTGGAAGCGACGGAGTCGACTACGCGAACACGTGCGAGATGGAGAGGACCGCCTGCCGCGACATGAAGGACGTCAAGAAGAAGTTTGACGGCAAATGCGGTCGGTGTCTTCCATACCAAAGTTCTATTCTCCAAACATTTTCCTCAAGAATAAAGTTTCTCAAACTGAAAAATTTTAAAATAAATTAAATTCTATAAAGGTTTTTCAATGGCTAAGTTTTCTAAATATAATTTTTTTGAATTTAAAATAAATTGAAATTGTCCACTGCGTCGGAAAGCCGTACATTTTATAATAAAATTTTTAGAAAATAATTTGTTAACGGATAAAATGTTTTCTAATTTGAAATAAATTAAAATAAAATAAAATAAAAACTCTGATTTCTTCACCACCATGACTAGATCCGTGCAGAGAAATAAAATGTCCAATCAGTCAGGTCTGCAAGTTAGACAGCAAGCGGCAACCCGTATGCAGATGTTTCAATCCCTGTCCCAACAACTACTCACCTGTCTGTGCAAACAACGGCAAAACTTATGTAAACAAATGCTTTATGGATCTCGATGCCTGCAAGCTCTCCAAAAATCTTGTTGTTATTTCCAAAGAGAATTGTTCCTATGGTTTGTTTATTATTATTAATATTATTTTCAATTTTATTTAAATGTTTTTTTTCAAAAATTATCATTTTTATATTTGAAAAGATAATTTTGTCTGTAGAAATCTTTATGTTATCAATGAGACTATTAATTATTTTTTGAAAATATGAAAAAACTTGGGATGAAAATGTAGATAAATTAGTAAAAACAAACGAAATTATAAAAAAATTATTGTCGTTGTTCACTGTTTTATTGAATTTTCATCGCAAACATCCAGGCAACAACAAAACGCAAACTTGTTTGATGTGCCCGCACGGTTGTTCTGAAATTTTTTGTTTTTTCAAAACTCCGCGAAAGTTTATGAGAGGAAAATTGGCTAATTTATATAACAGCGTGTTATTTGTTAGACGAATACTATGTACTGTATACTGTACAATCTCAATAACATTGTCATCATTTATAATGCTAAATCTCTCAAGTTATTTTTCATTGCCAAATAATTTTCATGTGTTTATATATTTTCTTTAAATCTTCATCTTTTTCTGCTTTATTGTACCATCCGTTCAGTTTTCCAAATAAAGTTTTAGGTTTTTTTCCTAAATGGTTTTGAAATGAAAATTATTTATTTAATTATGAATTTTTTCCAAACTTTTTTAAAATTTAAGTACTCTATTGTCCGGGTTTAAAAATTGGCTTATGATGCTAATATACATTCCATTGTTTGGTCACCTCAATTTCTTGGATAGTTATTTTTCATCTATATAAAACCTTTTTACATATATTAAATATTTTTCCAAAGTTATTCTCATGATAGTAAGGCAGCATCTATTGAAATGTAAAATGACCAGACGAGGCTCTAGTTTCAAAATCCAACTTTGTTTGGTCCCTGTTGATAACAAATGAAGAAAATTAATGTAAATAACAAATAATGATAACAAATGTAGGTAACGAACATTTATTATTTTTTTGATTATTTCAACTGCTGATCATTCGGAAGAAAACAGCCTCTGCGACAAGAAAAAGGAATGCGACTATTACGCCGATTGTTACAACACTCCGAAAGGTCTGACGAAATGCATATGCCCTGAATGGTGCGACAAAATCGTGAAGCCGGTCTGTGGTAGCGACGGCCTAACTTACGACAACATTTGCGAGATGAAGAGACGATCGTGTCTCTCGAAACATTGGATAAGATTAGTTGAATATGGAATGTGCAGTAAGTTTTTTTTTTCAATTTTGCTCTGCTGAATCAATCAAATTCTTTACATAACTATATGTTGATACGTTTAGGCAAAGATTCTGAAAACAATTACAGAGATTTAGGTTGGCGCAAACAATAACATATTAGCTTAATTTTGTATAATCAAATGTTAATGAAACTTTATTTTGAAATATTGAACACAATTTTGCAGCAAATGATTCTCCGATGGATTTTCATGAGTCTTGTACGTTATGTCACCGCGTAGATGTTTATTTTAGTTTCCAATGTGTTCAGTTACATTTTACCTGTTCATGCACTTAATTTTTTTTTACATAAATTAAGCACCCGTTTTCTGTTCTGTGGTTGTTTTTAAGAATGTTCATGGATATCTGTTTAACGAATTGGTAGGCAAACCAAATTACGCACTCAGGCACATATAGTTAGATAACCTCTCTCTCTCTCTCTCTCTCTCTCTCTCTCTCTCTCTCTCTCTCTCTTTCTCACACACACACACACACACTCCACACACCACACACACACACATACTACACACGAACATATATGTCAGTTCATTTACCTTATTTACACGTTCTGTTGAAGGTCTCTTAACGAATTACTGCGAGCAGTTTGGTTGTCAACCAGGAGCGGAGTGCGTCGTTGGTGAAGATGGTGTCGAGTGCTTCTGCGCCAATTGTTCATCTCACGTGACCGATGAAGTTAGTTCAGAGTTATTATAATGAGGGCCGGGTTTAAAAGCATGGTGGCCCTTGGCCAACGAAGCGTGTAGGTCTATAAAAAGTTTTCCTCAAGAGTTTTTTGCTTGATTTATTATTATTTCAAATCAGTATTTTAATATAATTCAATAGTAATTTGGACATTTTGTGGAGATCTCTTTTTAATGGAGGTCCCTTTTTAGCGAAGGTCACTTTTTAGTGGAGGTCTCCTTTCTAGCGGAGGCTCTGTACAGTACCCTTTAAATTCAGCCCTGATAATTATATGCTTAAATTATTTTTGTTTCAATTTGTTGTATTGTAACATAATTTATTATAATTAAATTTATTACAGCACCACTAATTATAATACAGTTTATTACACTGCAATCCTACACGAACAAGTAACACAATTGGACCAGGTGTGCGGGACAGATGGGAGGTCGTACAGAAATGTTTGCGAGATGAAAAAGTACTCCTGTGTGAATAAGAAGACTGTTCACGTTGGACATGCGGGGCCGTGTGGTGGGTAGCAAAATACCTTTCCATTTATTTTGTTGTTACTTCTTTAATTGAGATCAAGCGGGGGTTATCATTAAAAGCTCGCACACAATGACGCGAATTTTCATTTAAAAAAATGAAGTCATTATGATTTTGAATTCATGATTATATATTTATTTTCAAAAATATTTATAGGATGTTTAGCGTAAAAAAATGTCTACAAAGCTCGTCATAATTTTCACATTTAAGTTTTGGATAGTTTACCAAATATGCATTGCTTTGATCAACTATGGATGGACAAATTATTATTATCTCAACTTTTTTGTGTCTTAGTAATTTGGATGTTAATAAAGTCACAGCTGAAACACTGATACGATAGGTCAGAACCTGAATTGCAAGCAGAGCAAGTTCGGATGCTGTTCTGATGATGGAAGATTTGAATCTCAAGGTCCCAATGAAGAAGGATGCCCTAGTAAGTTTGACTGTCTTTGAACTAAAATGTAATTTAAACACTTCAAAATATTATTATTGGCGTGATTAACGTCACATTGTTGACTAACAAATTTTTTTACCAGTCTAATTTTTTCGTAAAAAATTATGCTCGTCTCGTTAAATTTTCAGTCCGACCAGGAAAACAAGAAATGATTTAATTTCTCAATTTTTATAACTATCTAAATTTTTTATAACTAAAATTGGTAGATACTCTATAACTCATCCAAATAAAAAATGAAATTAAAATTCCAGTTTTTACTCCGACATGAGAGCAAATTTGAGTTATAACCAAAACTGAATAGTCAAAAGCAGAATATAGAAATCAAACATAGGCAAAAAAGTTTTTTAAACATTTATTTTAACGTTAGTTGAAGTTCGTAATTCAAGGAAACGTTTTGTCCCTTTGGAAAGAGCCCAAGATTCTACAGAGCGAAAGTTATAACTGTTGATTTATGACTGATTCGTAAACCAAAATCATGTTTAGGCAACCCAGAAAATATCATTAACTTTCAGTATGATATTTGAACTCAACGCTGAGCGTTAACGTCAATACATATTTTCATGCGATTAATTTATCATCTGCCATGGGAGCATAAGAGACAAATGGCGTCAATGTTGCTCTTGCATCCAATGAAATGCAAAACTGGAAGAATAGGATAGGACGACTCCAGACTAAAACTTTTCTAAAAGTTTATAACAAATCAGTAAAAAATTTTCATTTTGATAGATGTAAAAATTGGAAAATATAAAGTCAAATATGAACCCAAGTGGAATGGGCTGGCGTCCATACAGTTAGACATTTTCTTGTTTCATGGTTGTCCCAAAAGCTAAATAATGAATTGGATATAAAACCTTCAACTTTTTTGTCTGGATTTCAACCACAATTTTGTAACTATACTAAAATAATATAATTGTATGTTTTAAATATTACTTTATCTAACTCAATTGATAAAATAGGTAAAAATCAAATCGAATTTATAAAGCAAAAAACATTTTTACCCCCATAAATTTAACTAAAACTATAGTGTATATTTCTAGCTAACGTATTTTACTAAGCGTAATTACGGTTGATGTGTATGTAGTGATCAAAATTTTCAATGAATTTCAATAAAATTTTACTCAAAATTAAAACATTTTATTAACACACTTTGGATTTTCATCTTTGGAATCTGTCAAAAATATTTCGTCCAACAATACTGTCAACTTGTTTGTTAAACTACTCCGTCGTGAAACATCAACCGTTCTATTGCCAACCATAAATTTCTGAAAACTCTAACAATAACAGAGCAGTGCCAGTGCAACACGTTCGGATCGGTTGGAGCCCAATGTGGGGCTGCGACCCACGCGTGCTCATGCAAGCCGGGTGTTGGTGGCATCCGGTGTGACAGGTGCGTGCCAACCTACTGGGGGTTCTCAGGCATTCTCGACGCCCAAGATGGCTGCTTACGTTAATTCAAACATTTTTTTTTCTCTTTTTATTTAATTGTTTACAAATCATTAGAAAACTCATCGCAGCAAAAATATGGTCACTTACTTTTTACTGTCTACTTTACTAATTTACTACTGGTATTATTGTTACTATTATTATATATATTACTATTAACTATTATTATTTTTATTATTATAAGTTATTGGTTGTTGTAACTGTTTATTATAAAGCAGAGTTTAGGCAAACATTTCGTGCCCGAAATTGCAGAGTAATTCGTAAAAATTTAAGAGATTTATGTTGCACCAACTTTCAAAAGGTTTTGATTTTATTTAATGCACAACGCAAGCTATCAAGGAAATGTATGGATAACAAAAATTATTAAACATGCTGTTAGTTCTTGAAAAAAAAACTATTGCTCGTTCTAAAATAATTTTACACGAAGCTTGCAAAGAAATGATTAAATAGCAATAGTAAACGTATTATAAATTTTTGAAATAAATATTTCTTACTAAACAACAAAAATTCTCGCCTAAAAATGATTCCACTTAAAAACATGTTAAAAGCATGCAACTGTTCGACATTTGGGTCGCTGAGGACTGATTGCGAACAGTCCACAGGCAAGTGTCTGTGCAAGCCTGGCTACTCAGGTCCGCAGTGCCAGATATGTCCCAATGGAGAACACGTCGCTTCTTACGGATGTTTGAGTAGGATTCAAATTTTTTCTTTGTTTAAATTTTATTTTAACGAAAAATTTTTTAATAAAAATTATCATTGGAAAAATCCACTTATTAATTTAGTTTAATCTGTTTGACGTGCTAATTATAAGACCACGTGAAAAAGAACGGCAAGAGGTGTGTAAATGATTTGAACTGTAAATACGGCGGCAAGTGCAAAAAAGTTGGACAGAACATCGAATGTGTGTGTCCCGCTTCTTGTGTCGAGTCCTCCGTCTCGTCTCTGTCTGCGGTCTGCGCCAGCAACGGCCTCACCTACTCATCTGAATGCCACCTGGCTCAGTTCTCCTGTCGTTCCCAGGTCGACATCACATTGCAACATTACGGACCGTGCGTTAACAACTGTGAGTCTGTAGTTCGTCATTATATAAATCACTTAATTCAGCTTTTCAAAAAGATCCGATTACCAAAAATGTTTAACCACCTTAAGCCGATGCAGGAGGTAGTGTCGGGTTTGACGGGACTTATTATTTGAAATACGTTTCAAAGCTCATGGACGAGTTAGTTGATTTTAACACTCTGAATTCGTAAGGTTTTATTTTTTCGATGCTTTGTAGGTTTGGAGGTTATATATAAATTAAAAGTACAAACTGCAAGAAAACCGATTGAAAATGTATATGAAAATTAAACAACTCAATTGGCAATAACTAGTGTACATTTATAAAAATAATTTAATTAAAAAAATACTAATTTTATGATGCAACTTAATTTTATTTAGTGAAGAACGAAAGCTGTCCAGCATACAAATAGAATTTAGTACTGATTCTCCAAACGGTGTGATATTTTTTGAGGGCGAATCATTTTCGCCGGCATCAAGTTTCATTTTGATTGGAATACGCAGGAGCAAGCTGGTGGTGATGTTTAACTTGGGCAGCAACCGGGCGGATGACCTGCCCCTGATGACCAGTTCTTCCGATGTTTCAGACCAACAATGGCATCTACTTACATTGAGAAGGTTGGTCGTGTGCTTTTTGTGACTCAAAGCAGGTTCAACGAGTGAAAGAGCTCGTATGTGTGATAAACCTTAAAAAACTTTGCTCTAAAAACAGACGTAAAATATATATGAAAATGAAAATCCAGAGATGAGAGACAGATGAAAATGGTGTTGGACTTCGATGAACCGATTGTTGCTTATTCGAGACCAGGCGCCAACTCCTTCCATTCAAGTGGATTTTTCTATTTAGGTTATTTTGAAAACGCTCGTGATTGAGTAACGCCCGCAGTTACCGACGTTGTGTATCGACTTAAACTATGACATTATATTTATTTTACTGGTGATTATTATTAAAATGATTCACAACAATCAACAACTTTATAAAAATAATAAATAAAAACAAACAAACCTGTAACATTTTAACGAAAAACAAACTCCACATGCACATGCAGGTGGTGCAGAGAAGCGAATGAAAGGCTTACCAAGATCCCTCTCGGCCGCGCTGAAGGGCTGCCTCAGAAATGTTCAGATAAACAAGAATGTTATTAATTTACGCGAAGATCGAATCAATGTCGACACTGAGCTGAAAAAATGTCACGACGCTCTGTAGTCACGAGTTGCATGACGCGTAGAGTACACACACATCACAATAAATATACGTATATATTATTTTGTAGATTTTGTGTTTATCAACCATGTTAACATTTATGCGAAACATTTCTACATGGATAAATGACGCATTTTATACAAATATATATTTTTCAATGTTACATACGAGCGCGCGCACACACACACACACACACACAAACAAATGTAACCATCGAACGATGAACGTATCTTAATATAGAATTGAAGAGAATTCAAAAAAATCAACGCGAGTAAGCAGGTAAGAAAGACTTCGTTATTTGGGAACAATGCATAATCCAATGAAGTTTCACACACGTTCGTTCATTCATCAACAGATTTACACATTGATTCTTATTAATGAATTCTCACATTGACTGTCAGCACGTTTCAGATTAGGCCAAGCTTACCGTTATGTTGTTTCTGCTTTTAATGGGAAATGTTCTCATGTATAATAACAATTTATTAATTATTTGTTCAAGGCAAAGTGGTTTCACAAGATTTATACCTCTTAGTGATAAAATGTTTCTCGAACTTTTGTTAATTAGAGAACAACAAATAATATAAAATTGAAACTTTGAATACATTTTTTCCATTTGGGACTTTATTTTATTTTTTCTCTTCAATTTGAGATAATCATTGCAACAATTTCATCTCTCCACCAGCAAATATAGTTGATTATATTACGTCTTTGCCGAATGCCATTGAATCACTCAAAATATTTTTACAAAGTGTTATGTAGTATAATTACAAAACAAAATTTTATAACATCAGACCGAAGTGGAAGACTGAAACTGCAGTTGAAATCTTTTGACGCATTTTCAAAAATATCTAACACTACTTAACCGGGTTCGATTGCAAGCTCAAAATTTAAAGAAAAGTTTAACTACAATGTCAAAAAATATGTGAAGCAATATAATAATGATTAATAAAGATTAACAAAAACTACATTTACTAAAATTAATAAAAAAATGATTGTCCGTATTTATAAAACAACGCATAAAGCAGTGTCACGATGAAGTTAGTAGTAGCAGCAGCTGTTGAATGAGTCGAATGAATGGCGGTCCCATTTTGTCGTGCTACTGATCAAGCAGGCAAGTTCTTCCATTCATTCACTCTCGTCACGAAATCAAATCTAATAATATGCACACAACAAAGTTAGTTCTGTCGATAGATCTTTGTATGTTGATAACATTGTGTGTGTGTGTGTTAGTGTGTGTTTGAGTGTGTGAGTATTTATTCACACATTTGTTTCTAATGTATACCTTAGGTAAATTCATGTTCACATGGTAGTTGGTTGTTTATTTATATTTATAAATATCTTTAAGACATTAATTTCAATAGTCTGAAATTTAACAAAAAATTATCGTAATAATATGCAATAATAAATGACAATAATTTCTATTAAATATATAAATATATATAAATAATATATATATGTATATATATTATTGATGAAAATCGCAGCATGTTAGCGCGTTAGTTAGCTTCCTGTTTAGTTTTTCGATATTTCTAACTGTTGATCTTAAATCGTTCTCTTGGAATTTTTATATCCATTATTAGTGAATAGTTTAGTAACTCTATTTAGTTCGGCTCTTCTTATGGTTTATTCCTTAATGGAAATAGTGAATGTTGTCAAACATATCTAGAGGACTCTGTTTTTGTAAACCGAGCCTACACGCACTCTTCTGATGATGGAAGCAGCTGATTTATTAAGTTTATCTAACTCACACACAAAATTAGTGTGCATGTTTAAAACAGAAAAGCTTTTTTCAGGAATTCATTTCTCCATTATTAATATTATTTTTTGTGTAGTTTATATTCTTATATAAGTTTTATTGTTACTTTGTTCCTATGTAAATAAAGTTTTTATGAATTCTTTGTATCTCTTTGTGTGTCGTCTCGGCAAAGTCGATTTCTAGTTTTGTGGGATGGTAGAACGCCAGTGGCCCTCTGCTTAATAATTATAATGGGATGCCTTTGTTCAATCAAAAATGCTTCTGCAATTCGTAGCTTTTGCTTGTTATTATTATAATATATAACTCCAATATTATTATCAAGAATGTCTTTAGTGGGTTTTGTTTTGTGTTTGTCTTTCAGATGGTTTTTGATAGCGCCAGGTAGAACGTGCACAGTAAGTCTTCTTGAGAGTCTTTTGTCAACATGCTCACTAATTTTGTGTATGAGTTAAATAAATTAATAATAAACTGAAATTCATCGTAAGAAAGATTGAAACATTAGAAAGAAAAGCAACGCTGAAAATGCTGTGACTTTCCTAAACAACTGTATATCTGATAGTCTGAGTCATATATATATATATATATATATATATATATATATATATATATATATATATATATCCATCAATCAATCAATCAATCAATCAATCAATCAATAGGAAACTTATATAGCGCCAATTAAATGTTCTCAAAGGCGCTATCGTAATTATATAAACATTGAAGTCTACAATACAATTAATAGGAAGAAAAAAAAATTTGAAATATATATATATATATATATATTGGATTATTGATAATATATATATATATATATATATATATATATATATATATATTTGCAATTATTGATGGTTTTAAACTTATATACATAATAGATGTATATTTACCCAATCAACTTCAATTCTCGTGACAGAAAATAATTTAAAAATATATTTGCTCACTGACTATTGAACCCATATAATGAAAATCCGCAATTGCAAGGTAATTAAAGGTGAATAATGCTAGGAATTTGTATTAAATACAAATATTGATATTTTCAAACGCTAATCCCAAACTCTAACGGGGGGGAGATAGAAGAACGTGGCATTTTGAACTGAACTGAGTGGCGAGGAAATTCACAATTTTATTTGCTCATTCACCAAACCTATCATTTGTTCAGCAGACTAGCGCTTGTAGTAGTAGTAGTAGTAGTAGTAGTAGTAGTAGTAGTAGTAGTAGAAGTAGAAGAAAGAAATATAATATTTAAAGTAGAAGTAGTTGTAGAAGTAGTAATAATAGTAGTGTTTGTAGAGTAGTAGTAGTAGCAGTAAAAATAGTATTAGTATTTGTAGTAGTAGTAGCAGTAGTAGTAGTAGTAGTAGTAGTAGTAGTAGTAGTAGTAGTAGTAGTAGTAGTAGTAGTAGTAGTAGTAGTAGTAGAAGTAGAAAAAAGAAATATAATATTTAAAGTAGAAGTAGTTGTAGAAGTAGTAATAGTTGTAGTGGTTGTAAAGTAGTAGTAGCACTAGCAATAAGAATAGTATTAGTATTAGTTAGTAGTAGTAGTAGTAGCGTAGTAGTAGTAGAAGTAGAAGAAAGAAATATAATATTTAAAGTAGAAGTAGTTGTAGTATTAGTAATAATAGTAGTGTTTGTAGAGTAGTAGTAGTAGCAGTAAAAATAGTATTAGTATTAGTATTTGTAGTAGTAGTAGCAGTAGTAGTAGTAGTAGTAGTAGTAGTAGTAGTAGTAGAAGTAGTAGTAGTAGAAGTAGGAAAAAGAAATATAATATTTAAAGTAGAAGTAGTTGTAGAAGTAGTAATAGTTGTAGTGGTTGTAGAGTAGTAGTAGTAGTAGCCATAAGAATAGTATTAGTATTAGTAGTAGTAGTAGTAGTAGTAGTAGTAGTAGTAGAAGTAGAAGAAAGAAATATAATATTTAAAGTAGAAGTAGTTGTAGAAGTAGTAATAGTAGTAGTGGTTGTAGAGTAGTAGTAGTAGCAGTAAGAATAGTATTAGTATTAGTATTAGTAGTAGTAGTAGTAGTATTAGTAGTAGTAGTAGTAGTAGTAGAAGTAGTAGTAGTAGTAGTAGTAGCAGCAGCAATAAGACTCTTAATAGTAGCAGTAGTATTATAGTAGTAGTAGTAGTTTTAATTGTGTTAGTAGCAGTAGTAATAGTAGCATGCTGGTAGTAGTAGCAGCAGTAGAAGTACACATGAACTTGTATTTACTCTTTCTTTGATTATTTATAATCTTTTTACATCTGCATAATGACAGTACAAATAAAAACTAATTCTACTAGATGTGCTACTACTACCACTACTGAAAATACGACAATTATTTTTACTGATAACACACTATTACTACATTCACTACTGTTAATATTACGTTTACTAGGGTTACTTTTACAATTACGACTACTACAACTACAACACCAACACCAACGCCAACTACTACAACAACAACAACAACTACTACTACACTACTATTACTACCACTACTACTTCCACTACTACTTCTACTACCACTACTATTAATACTATTACTAATACTAATAATACTACAAATTCTAGTCAGCAAACCAAATCTGCTACTAAAACTTTACAATCATTTAGAAATCAAGGCATACCATACAAAAATGTTTATACGATGATTATTTGCTTTTGATAGGTACCCATAAATATTTAACACTACTGTTGATCATTTAATCTAAAATTTATTACATAACCGGGCGGATGACCTGCCCGTGATGACCAGTTCTTCCGATGTTTCAAACCAACAATGACATCTACTTACAATAAGTTCAATAAAAAGTTTAGCTGATAGTTCTACCAGTTACGAAAGTATTCCGTTTCTTAGGAGTCATTGACGTATTGTTGAAATAAACTGTTTTAGCCATTCCTTAGTGGAGTTAAGGGTGCCAAATTTTTAACATGGTTTTTTTGCCTCATCCAAATGCACCCTCGGGCACAATAGCGTGGCAAGGCATGTACATTGAATAACCTGCATTGGTGTAGAAGTGGGAAATGTGAATTGCCTGCATGTCCCAACTTTGTTGTAGAATGTTCCAATGCCTACAGATCGTGCGACATTTACCAGTTGTTTTACAACAATCAAGAAAAACACACTATCTATCAAGTTGACGTTACGATTCTAAATGTTGCAAATGTTACGAAGGAGGAAAAAAGATTAAAAAAAAGAAGTAAACAAAAAACTGGAATTTGAAGTAAAGCTGAGTGCGCAACTCCCAAACAATGATAGTTCCAGT